GACCAGCAAGCCAAGTGAAGAAAGTGAATTAAGGAGGAGGGCGTGATCAAATATGTTAACTGCTGCTAATAAGTTGGATTTAGTAACAGAGAAGTCATTGGTAACCTTGGTAAGAGCAATTTCAGTTACATGGTGAGGGCAAAAGCCTGACTGCAGTACATTCAGGAAAGAATGGGAAGAGAGGAATTGGAGACAAGTATAGAAAACTCTTTCAAGTATTGCTCCAAAAGTGAAGGAAAATGGGGTGATAGCTGGCAGGGGACTTGAAGAGGTTTATTTAAGTTGGGAAGAATTATAGCAGGTGTGTTTGCTGATAGATCCAGTAAAGAGGGACAATTGATATTGTACGAGGAAGGGACAATGGCTGGAACAATGTCCTAGAGAAGGCACGCGGGGATAGGATGTGGCGCACAATTAGAGGGATCAGATTGAGGTAGGAACATGGAGAGGCAGGAGGATGGAATACGTGGGCCCAAGTGTTGGTAGATGGCTAGATGTGATTGTGGGAGACTGTGGAAGTCCTCTGCCAATTAATTTTCTGAGTAAAGTAGGAAAGATGGTCCTCAGTTGGGATGAGGATGAGGAGGGGTGTTGGAGATTTGAGGAGCAAGGAAGTATGAAATAGTAATCAAGTAATGAATTTAACGTGAGATCAACCAGGGTCGTTGTTCATTTTGTTTAGCTGCATGGTGTAGGCATGGAGAAGACAGAGGTGAGTAAACCAGGAGTTGGTTTTGCCAAGCAAGACAAAACTAGAGAGGGACAAGGGAGTTGAGTGAATGCAAAGGCGTGATTATAGTGTTTGAACATGATACTTGAACTGGGGATGGGAGGAAGGCAGGGCGTCAAGAGCTGAGAGACACGTTACTTAACCTCTCTAAACCTGTTTCCTTATCTGAAAATCTTCAAGTGCTGTTGGGAGGCTTATGTGAGATAACGTACGTTTAGATGTTTAGAAAGCTTCACACAGGACTGAGCGCACGCAGTAAATATTCCATCAGTGTTTCTCAAATGAGGTTTCGCATCAAGATTAACTGGGAAATTTTCGAAAATACTAATGCCTATAGCTGAATCCCTAAAAAAAATAGCATTTCTGAGGGTGAGGCCGGGGCATCACTCTGTTTAACTGCTCCCCAGGTGATTCTAATGTGTAGTCAGGGCTGCAAACTTTTTTTTTTTTTTTTTGGTGAGGAAGATCAGCCCTGAGCTAACATCCATGCCAATCCTTCCTCTTTTTCCTGAGGAAGACTGGCCCTGGGCTAACATCTGTGCCCATCTTCCTCCCCTTTATATGGGACACCGCCACAGCATGGCCTGACAAATGGTGCCTCGCTGGGCACCCGGGATCCAAACCTGGGCCGCCAGCAGCAGAGTGCACGCACTTAACCGCTACGCCATGGGGCCGGCCCCAGGGCTGCAAACTTTTGCATTAACTAAACGATCTCTATTTTTTTTTAATAATTTTATTTATTTATTTTTTCCCCCAAAGCTCCAGTAGATAGTTGTATGTCATAGCTGCACATCCT